TGATACCCACCTACTGATCACAATATGACATCTGATTAGCTGCACAACCTCTCTTTGCCTCAGTTTCCATATCTAGCAATCGGTTAATGATATTGCATCCCTTATGAACTTATATTGAGACTGGCTCACAATGGATCCATGGCTCCTTCTGTCCCTCCTTGCTTGTCTGTAAATAACAGACCCCTTTGCATACCCTCTTGTGGTGTGTGTGCCCCATCTCACCGGGCACAGATAAGCAGGTAACCAGTGCATGGTGAACTTAGACAGTAGCCCATATTGCAATGGGTGTGAGAATATGGAGTATATGTATTATTCTTCCACAAGTGTTTACATATTTATTTTATTTAAAAAATTTCAATTCAGTAAAATAAGTACAATTCATCATTTGGATCATTTTAAAGCGTGCAATTTAGTACTATTCCATATATTCACAATGTTGTACAACCGCCATTGTTATTTTGTTGGAGAATATCTTCATCATCCCCTAAAGGAAACTCCATACCCAAGCAGTTGGTCCTCAGTTGTTCTTCCCCCAGCATCTGGCAACTACCAATTTACCCTTTGTCTTTAGGAAATTTTCTATTCTGGTTATTTCACATAAATGGAATAACAAATGTGTAACAGGTTTGCTTATTGCCACCTAATAAAGGACTCCCACTGCTTGGAAAATGGCAAATATCATCATTGCACCAACCTCCAGAAGCAGGAGTCCATACCTTTAGGCTCACTGCATCCTGGGGTTAGATACAACCTATAGAGATATAATCCTACATAAGACACAATTCTTGTTTTAGGCATTTGACCATTCTAGTCGTCACTCAGTTTTTAAATGTCTTGTCATATTGTAATAAACTTGATTAAAAAGATTTCCAGAGTTGTCCACAATGAAGAATTAATGGAATAAGCCAGATGATGAATTTATGGTCATTACTTTTCCAGAAACTACAAGCTATTTGGAGACCTCTCCCTGCTTGTTAACTTACCCAGTTACAGATGAGGCTAATGCAGGCATTGGTATCTCTGACATTGCTACAACTCTGAATCAAACAAGACATCTACCTTCACAATGTCTTTCATTGTCCACCTCCAGAAAGGCATAATCCCATTAAAATGAGTGGAATGTGATGGGTAGAATCTTATAGAATAAAACATGAATTTAGGTCCCTGCAGAAGAGATTCTAAAAATGCGCTTGTGATGAAATCTTTACTTAATATATACTAAATCGATCTTCTGTATAAAGATAATTGAAAATTGATCTTGATGTGAATGGAATGGGAGAGGGAGTGGGAGATGGGAGGGGTGTAAGTGGGAGGGGAGTTATGGGGGGGGAAGCCATTGTAATCCATAAACTGTACTTTGGAAATTTATATTTGCTAAATAAAAGTTTTAAAAAAATGCGTTTGGAAATCTCATGCTGAATTTCCAAAGAGTACAACAAGAGTGAAATATTCAGGGTCCAGGCATTTAGCTTAGCAGTTAAGATGCTCATCTCTCACAAAAGAGAGGGGTTCAGTTCTCAGCTCTCATTCCTGGCTACAACTTGCTACTAATGCAGACCCTGGAAGGCAAGGGTAATGGATTAGGTAATTCCGCTCCTGCCAGCCACTCAAGAGATCTGGTGTGTTCCTGGATCCCACTTCAAGCTGGACTAGCCCTGGCTATTTCAGGTCTTTGGGGAGTGATCTTTTTTTCTCTCTCTCTTTCCCCTGCCTCTTAAATAATGATAGATAAATAATTTTATTTTTAAAAAGTAAAATCTTAAATGAACCCATTATTGTCTCTGTTCTATATTATAGTTTCACTCCCATTTGTTGTTGTGACACCTGTGTACAAGAGTCTGTTGTCCAGAAATCCCTCCTTACCACATTAATTTGATTAACCTATTAATTTTTCCCACCATTCATTAACCCTCTTCTCCTTTATCACCTCTGTGTAGGCCCCTCTTTACTTAAGTGGAAGTTAGGATTCAGGGCTCTGTATTGAGTCTTCCCAGGTACAAATACTGTATTCAATACCACTTAGTGACTATGCATAGAGAAATTTCAGCAAGAGGCTACACCTCTCAGAATTTAGCTTAAAGATCTGTCAGTAGTGTAGAAAAATCTAAGTGTATCTTTTCTATTATCCACAAAGCAGCATTCATTTAACACAGAAGCTCATATATCATATCATTGAAGGCATAACCTTGGTGCTAAGTAGCTGGTGAAGGCTTGGATGCAGTAAAGACCAATAGAAATCCATACAGTGGAAAGAATATGGTCAAAAAGAAAAGTTGTAATATTTGCAGTGACTCTTTATCCATAAGGATACGGTTGTTCTTCATTCTACTTAGCTATTTTCTCTCTGAAAATATAAACTGCAATACAAATTCCTTTGCCATTCACATTCTCACAAAGGATGCAATTTTGGACTTATTAAACAGTGGGAATTTGCTAAAGAAAATGGCTCACTCCACTCAGAAGACTTGATTTATGGTTTTGTATTGGACTTTGCCCCTTGGCAGACTCTAATTAGAAGGCCATGGAGCACTGGTAACTGAAGACACACAAGCCGAGCTATTACATTTCAATGGAGTTTAGCAGATTTCTGTTTATTTCCAATGGTGGTAACATGTATTGAGAATTCATTGAAATGTGACCTTTCCATTACAACATCAACCTCCTCCACATCTAACAGCAAAAAAGAAGATATATATTTTCATTTTATAACTATTTATTTATATAAAGGAACAGATTTAGATATTATATGTACAGTTTTAATAGCATAATGATACTTTCCACCCTATCCTCCTCCCTGCCTCATTCCCATCCTCCCTCCCCCTGGTTTTCTTTTAAATTTCACAATGACATAGTTTTAATACAGTTTATACACAAGCTTAACCCTCCACTAAATAAAGAACTCAACAAGTAGTCAGTAGAAAAACCACTGTTCCTCAAGAGTATAGACAAGGGCTAGAAACAATCAAATCTCAAAATGTCAATTTTGCTCATATACATGGTATTTTTTTAATGTAATTAAATGTATTAGCATAAACACATACTAAGCAACGGTTTAAGACTCATATACTTATTTGGCGTTATCTGTAACAAACCTTGCTGTCCACAAAGACACTGCTGTTCCCCATTGAGAACTGTACAGGAAATCCCCCCTGGATTTTTTCCAGTTTCCCTGTTTCTCTTTCTGCCTCTTCCTCTTTGAAAGGGGTTGAAATGGACTTACTCCACCCAGAACAGCTTTTTGGAAAACACACTTGTAAGAAGCTTGAGTAGAAGCAGTTGGGGTACCTGTGGGCTGACACTTTATTTCTTATGGAGATAATAGAGTGTTAGTTTCCTGAGGGACATCTGTATCAGAGTTCCTTAAGTGAGTTACTGATGTCTCTGCAGAAGAACTGGGAACATTTTCAGTCTGACCCGAAGCTGAGCAGATGGTCATAGATGTGCCAGCACCTTGCAGGCTAAAATAAGACTGGAATTTCCCACAGAAGTTGATGCCAGTGTAGGAATAGATGTGGGACCCATCCACCATGTTGTAAAAGGACAAATCCCCAGCCTCCCAGTCCAGGAAAACTCCTATCCTCTCAGGGTAACTTCTTAGTGACAGAGACTCTGGCTTGGAGGTGAGGGTCGTGACCTTCCCTTCCTTGCAGGCCACCAACCAGAAATTCTTCTCTGTATTTTCCACAAACCACCCTGCTCTATTCACTGTTTCAGGGCAAATACCCAGAGCCCATCGAGCTCCATGTCCCATTTCTTTCTCCCCAAGTACTTCTACTTCCCAATAGTATCTCCCTGTGGCAAAGCAATTCTGACCCACAGCACTGAAGATGGTTCCAGACCCTCCTGTCCCCTGTGTTGTTGGAGCATCAACATTCTTTTCCAAAGAAACACGTTTTCCATCCCCAGATATGGTGAGGCCACGGTGAGCTGTGTTTTTATCCAGAGAAACATCCACTGCAGGGGTGGGGAAAACAAGGAAGAAAAGATCAGTCAGTCAGGGAGGCTTGTTGGCCCTAAGAAAGATGGAAACGCGGTGTAAGGACAAAGGAAGGAAATAGGACAAAGACAACCAAAGGGTAGGCAAAACAACCTGTGTTCTGTTCCAGGAGCCACATGAGGAAGTGGAAGTCCAGAGCTGGACAGGACTTCAGGTAACCGTCTGTTCCAGAATCTAGTCAGGATGACTGCTTTGACAATCCTCAGCGTCGTGTATTTAGGATGAGGTCTTCCACCTTCTGTAAATAGCCTGTTATTTTTTTTTTCTTCTCTTAAGAGTTAAGTCTTGTCATCTTCTCAGTCACTGTGTGCTTGCCTACATTAAGCCTTTTCAGTATCATTTTCTATGGGTTTATATAGTGACCAAATCATTTATTTCTCATGTACTCCTATTATATTTTTCTAATTGTGATTCAACAAGCTCTTTCCTGAGTCAGGCTGGTTATACAATAAACTTCCTTCTGACTGAAGCATTCTTCCAATGTTGTTCATGTGAAGAAATCCATGAATTTGCTGAAGTGCCAGCTTAATAGTAATTCCGTTAGGAAACCCTTTAATCCACTTTTTTCATTCTTGATAATCTCTTATTCCTTCAAATATGTATCACAATTTATATGAATATTTTCCTATTAAGTCAGAGATCAGGATATATTTATTTACTTGGCACTGAATAAATAGTTATATAAAGATGCTCCCTTGACTTACAGTGGGTCTAATAAGCCTGTTGTAAATTGACAATACCAAGTTGAAAATGTCCTTCATACACCTATTCTACCTAACATCCTAGAAAAGATTACCTGAAAAAAAAAAAAAAAGGCCTGAAACATAGCTGAGAGTGTAATACTGTAGGTAAGGGAGAAATGTGCTCCCTAACCAGGCAGCCGGGAGCCAAGCCTGCTTCCCTGTTGGACCTGTAGAGGGGTGGATGCTCATTCCTTGTTCAGACTGCACAGCCGTTGGAAGCCACGGATGCGGGGTCTCACGCTCTCTCATGCTTGCTCCAGGCAGGATGTTGGACTTCTCGCAGTACAGTCTGTCTGGTGCGGTTGCCTCCTTCTTCTTCATCCTGCTGACCCTGAAGCCTCCAGGTATGATCCCTTCTCCCCTTTCTACACACTGTAATGCTCTGGAGATCCAGTCCTGGGGCTCAGTCCTAAGGACTGGCAACAAGATTTCAGAGCGTGGGCCCAATGGCCAAAGCACCTGAGTTCCAAAAAGGGCTCCTCCACTTCCAGCTGTGTCACCCTGGGGAAGTTATCTGAGCCTCTTATGCTTTGGTTTCTCCACATTTATGGTCAGAACAATGACAGTATGTACACCTGAAGGTTGAGCATCAAATGAGACCATGAATGAGAAACGCCCTGACCAGTGGCTGGAACTTGTTAGTGTTTTCAACTATTCTCCTACCTCCGTGAACTTGGGGGTAAGACAAAGAGCTACTTCTTTTTTATTTTCTAAAGATTTTGTTTTTACTTATTTGAGAGTCAGAAGGAAGAGAGAGAGAGAGAGAGAGGAGAGAGAGTAGAGAGAGTAGAGAGAGTAGAGAGGAGAGAGGAGAGAGAAAGAGAGAGAGAGAGAGATTCCATCCACTGATTCACTCTCCAAATGGCCAAAAACATCTAGGGCTGGGCCAGGCTGAAGCCAGTAGCCAGGAACTCCATCTGAGTCTCCCACAGGGCACTTGGGCCACCATTCACTGTCTTCCCAGGTGCATTATCAGGGAGCTGGGTCAGAAGTGGAGTAGCCAGGACTTGAACCAGCATTCTGATATGAGGTAACAAGCATTGTAAATGGCGACTTAACCTGCTGCACCACAATGCCAGCCTCATACCATGAACTCAGTAACATAAAAGTGCTTGGAAATAAGAATTAGAAGGAGACTTCCAAGAAATGGACTTGGAAGCCTCAGTGGTTGACTTGTTTTTTAAAGATTATTTATTTATTTGAAAGTTGGAGTTACACAGAGAGAGAAGGAGAGGCAGAGAGAGAGAGAGAGAGGAGAGAGAGAGAGAGAGGTCTTCCATCTGATGGTTCACTCCCCAGTTGGCCACAACAGCCAGAGCTGCACTGATCTGAAGCCAGGAGCCAGGAGTCTCTGCCGGGGTCTCCCACGTGGGTGCAGGGCCCAAGGACTTGGGCCATCTTCTGCTGCTTTCCCAGGCCATAGAAGAGAGCAGGATCAGAAGAGAAGCAGCTGGGACTTGAACTGGCACCCACATGGGATGCTGCACAGCAAGTGGCAGCTTTACCTGCTGTGCCACAGCAACAGGCCCCAATAGTTGAATTTTGTCAGTCAAAATGTTATACCTTGAAGTAAAATTATGAAATGTGGATGTCAGAGAGAAAATCAGAGCCCCAAGGAAAACATAGAATGGCAATTTGATAAAAAAATAAAAAAAACAAAAACAAACAAACAAACACATCTTGTGAAGACGTCAGAAGGTGGACTGCAGACTTGGTGCCGTGGAAGTTTTGTGAGGTTCTGAGGCCGCCGTCCTCTCTCTCAGTCATGCTGTGGTTTCCTAGTCTGTAAAGGACTGGCATAGCCTCAGCCCTTGCTTCATATTTGGAATAAAAAATACAAACAGATCTCCACCCAAGTTTAATGATGGACTTTTTGAGCAGCATCTATTTGACAAGGAAAGGTTTGCCCCTGGAGGACGAGTGTGCACAAAGGTCAGGTGGCTGTGGGGCATTTACATAGAAAGAGCACAGCATAAATGACAGACGAGGTCCTGAAAGTAACAACGCGTGCCAATATTAAACATCTCTGATGTGCAGGTAGCAAGGAAGGTCAGACATGATTTAGAATTGGATTGGAGGACTCAAATTCTCTATGGACCACTGTGCTTAACCCACCACAGAGAGTCCTCATGGACCATGCATTGTACTTAATTCAGTCACTGCAGTCACCTTCTTTAGAGAAAGGATAAGAAAAAAGAAAATCTCATTTCCTTACCTAGACAAGAGTGAGTGATCCTGAGATGCCAAAAAGACTAATCGATGAGTTCCTTATCTAAATTTAAAGAAACTAATTAAAATGTTAATCACTAATAAGTTTTTAATAAATAAATAAATTTATGTATTAACTTCCCTGAGTACAAAAACAACCCAGACATGATAGTTTTAGTGTCTTAAAGATGAAGAAATTAAGATCATAAACCTCAGAGACTTACTGAGAATATAGATTTGCTCCAAATTGTCCAGCTAGTGTGTGACAGGTTTGGCTTTTGTGCTCAAATTTTTGAACTACATTTTCTTTCAGTACACAAGGTTGTGACTGTAACAAAGGAGTGCACAAAGAATCCTGGTGGAGTTCTCTAAAACGTTGAGAGCAAAGCCCACCCCTCTCTGTCTTTGTAGGTTGGACAACACAGGCAAGCACACTGGTCCTCCTGCTGGCGCTTCTGGCTGACACTTCCTCTTTTGTGCTCTGCTTTGTAGATGACTTCAGAGTGACTGGTCCTTCCCATGCTATTGTGGCTATGGTGGGGGAAGAGGCCCTACTCACCTGTCAGCGCCTTCCAAGAAGACTGCGGTGCACACGGAGGTGAGGTGGGTACCACTCAGAGCCCAGCGCACCTGTAATTGCATACCGGGATGGAGGTGGGATGACTGAGGTGCAGAAGGAGGAGTACCAAGGCCGAGTCGAGTGGATAGAAGATGGCATCGCAGAGGGACGTGTGGCTCTGAAGATACACAGCATCCAGGCTTCCGACAACGGGCAATACTGGTGCCGTTTCCAAGAGGGCAACTATTATAGTGAAACAAGCTTGCTGCTCAAAGTAGCAGGTGAATATCTAGGAAAAGACGTAGGATTCTGGAGAGGAGCTTATTAACATGTGGGAAGGTTATTGCCAGTTGAAGAATTTCCCTTTGAGGTCGTCAAAGCCATTCCTGGTGCCCCATAGTCTACTCTGAGGCACTTGAAACAAACGGTTCTGAAATCTTTAAAACAAGCTCACTTGTGAAATATTCTTCCAAATTTAAAACTTACACAGTTGACTGTTCTTGAGGATTATTTGAAATATAAAACATATAGTTCCTAGAAACTTTGAAAGAATTATTTACCTGTTTGTAAAGCAGAGTCATGGGGGCAGGACACCTTGCATCTCTGGTTCACTCCCCAGATGGCTGCAACAGCTCAGTTTGGGACCAGGCTGAAGCCAGAAACTCCATCTAGGCCTCCCACCTGAATGGCAGGAACTCAAGTACTTGAACCATCATCTACTGCTTCCCATGTGTATAAGCAGGGTGGTGGATCAGAAGCAGAGTGGCTGTGACTCAAACCCCACTGCCTCATGGAATGTGGGCATTCCAAGCAGTGGCTTAACATGCCAGCTGCAGCACCTACCCCATTCATTAGCAGTTTTTCTGAGGTAAGAGCTTGTGCCACCTAAGGTTGGTGTGCCAGAGCAAGTCGACTGCTGAGTGAGTGAGCCCAGCTCCTGCTCCTCATCTGTGTCTCAGTGGAAGCAGTTGTTCCTTATCCCCCTTGGGGACTTCAAAAAGTCCATGGAAGTGGAATTAAAAGCTTAATTTATTTTGGTGGAAAATTTTTGAAATCTATGCATGGTAATCTCACGATAGGCATTTTCTGTGAACTTTCTGGAGAGTCCTTCTGTTTGGGGTGACTGAGGTGTGAGAACTTTGCTTTGTCAATGCCCTGGTCAGAGAGCCAGTGATGAGGCTGAAGAGGTTAACACTGTGCTCTCACAGAGATGTTCGTGCTCCACCATTCAACAAACGGGGCACTTGCAGGAGGTGTAGGGACACCCTGTGAATGGCAGGTTCTAAAGAATGCTGTTGTATTCTCCCATTCTCTGCTTCACACCCCAATGTGGCCTAGATCTACCATGGCTAAGCCCAGGAGCCTGGAACTCTGTCCCTATCTCTCACATTGGCTCAGGGGCACAAGTCCTTGGGATGTCTTCCGGGTGCATTTGCAGAGAACTGGAACAGCTGGGACTTGAACTGGTGCTCACACTGGATGCTGGCATTGCAGGTGGCAGCTTAACGTGCTACACCACAACACCAGCCCCCAACTTTCCTGTTAATACTGCTTTTGCTGTATTTTACAGGTTTTGGTACTTTGTGAAAATATAGTTCCCTTTGAGTTTGGGAAGTGTAGTGTAGGACAGAGAAAGAACTTCATGGCTCTGTAAGTTATCCTAAAGTAGGATTTCTCAAAGCTACTCTTGCCATTGAAGGGATATCTAGACACAAGGAACCCTGCATGGAACTTGCATTCCACACACTGCAGTTTATGTCTATCCCAAGGTCACTACCACCAACCTCCCCCCACAAAAAAAGCAGAGAGAGAGGAGATTAATTCTCTTTCAGGTGATTTGTGACTTTATCTTTAATATTGTTATTAAATATAAACAATTTCATATTGTTTAAATTAGATCATATTATCATCTGAAATGTCAAAAAGAAGTGCCTGATACAAATAATATTAAGATTAAAAGGCAGGGTTAGTGGCATCAAAGAATTCATGGGTCAGTGATGACACATCTTTGTTTGCTGTATTAAAGAAAGAAGTAAAATGTTATTGTATCTCCTGTCTCCTATTCCCCTGTCTGCATCTGAAGAAGCATGCACTCAGATGCTGAACTTAAAAGATACTATAAGGGCTGGCACTGTAGCATAGAGGGTAAAGCTGCTCCTGTAGTGCAGGCATCCCATGTGGGCACTGGTTCGAGTCCCAGCTGCTCCACTTCCAATCCAGCTCTCTGCTGTGACCTGGGAAATCAGTAGAAGGTGGCCCAAGTCCTTGGGCCCCTGAGCCCATATGGGGGACCTGAAAGAAGCTCCTGGCTTTGGACCAGCCGAGCTCTGGCTGGCTATTTGGGGGAGTGAACTAGCAGATGGAAGTCTTTCTCTCTGCCTCTGTAACTTTACCTTTTAAATAAATAAATAATCTTTTTAAAAAAGAAAAGATACTGACTGGAGAATGAAGGAAGTGGACCTGAACTCTAGATCTGATGAGAAGAACGCCTTAGACCACCTTCTACTTCCCTGGCCCCTGAGCGCCCACCCTCTCCCGTGGGCAGCATCACTGGGATCCCACTGTATGTGATTTGTGCTGCCATCATTTGGGGCTCAAGGCTGTGACTTCTCTCCACAGGCCTGGGGTCGGCCCCACGGATCCACATGGAGTGGCCTGTGGGGGGTGGAGTGCAGCTTGTGTGCACTGCAAAGGGCTGGTTCCCGGAGCCGCAGGTGCGCTGGGAGGATGGCCAGGGAGAGCAGCTGCTGTCTGTCTCCGAGCATCACATCCAAGATGAACATGGTCTGTTCTACGTGGAAGCCACCCTTGTGGTCAGGGATGCCTCCGCAGAGACCGTGTCCTGCCTCATCCACAACCCTGTCCTCAGCCAGGACAAGGCGTCTGTCATCGCCCTCCCAGGTCAGTGCTCCGCCCTGGGACCAGCTTGCTCAGGGAGCCATGGCGCCTGTGTTTCTGGTCAGGACAAATCTCACGTTTAGTAATCTCTATTAAAACCTATAAAACATTTATAATTGGAATAGATGCACTGTATTTTGACTAAATAACTGTTGAAAGTACTGCAGTTATTTTCAAATTCTACCTTGTTTCTGCATTGATTTTTTAACCGCAAGTATTCTTAGGAAAACAAAACTATATTCCTTCAACTGAATTTTTTTCCTATGCTGCATTCTGCCAATTAGGCCTAGGGACCTATCAGACAAAAATAAGCAAGGTGGAGAAAACTACTTACGTAGCATCTTAATAGTGTTCTCACTTATAAAACAACAAGAACAACAAAAACCAAAGAAAACCCAATAAAATGATATAGTGTTAAATTTCTCATGTCACTATAAAAATAACAAAAATATTTTCAAATAATTTTAGTGGCTTAATCCTATTGATAAATTATTTAATGATAAAGATCATATCTATCTATATAGCTATAAATAGATATTTTGAATCACATAGGTTATTGACTTTGAATCACAAAACTGGATTAAGATTTTTGAGGCTGTATTTATTATTCTGATTCATGTAAATGAATAAAGAAAAATTAAATGTTATGTGTTGATGTTAAAAGAAGACATATATATTTATAAAATATTAACTATTAACATTTAATTTTTCTTTACTCATTTACATGAATCAGACTAATATATTTGTGAATATATATATATATATACATACATGAGCTTATAATGTCTCAGTTTGGAATTACAAATGTGAAGTTTATGTCCTCATATTTTTATATTTTCTGAGTATTTACAAAATTAATGTGTATGCTTTTTATAACTGGTAGTTAAATATCTGCAGAAACAAACAGAATTATTGGGTGATAATACTGAGAGCATTTTTTTGTTGTTCAGAAAAAAGGAAAACTAGCAGGAATACTAGATGATCTGTGGTAAAAAAAATCAACATTTTTCATCATTTCACATTGCATATTGAACTCTCCAATGAAACGTAGAACTTGCTTTGTTTCATTTTACTGTACTTGATTTATTTTATCTTTTAGATAACTTTTCTCCTTTCTTTCAGACCAATTTCCTCAATATGTTATTCTCATTCTTTTTCCAGAGAAACTCCAGTCTGAGATGGGTGAGTAGGACCTGCCCCTCCCCCCATGCCTGGTGAGCCTTGTGGACACACAGCTTGTGGCACCAGGCTGAGACCCTGTAACCCAAATGGGAAACCAAGGCATGGATTCAACAAGTCTTAGGCTCCGTTCATATTGGTGGGACTGGCCAAGTGCAGGCTACCACGGTCTCCTTTAGGGCCTTTCCCACTGTGTATCTGCCAGGGGGGTTTCCAGCGAGCCTCAGATGGACACCTAGATGACACAGACACCACCTCTGCTCCGTGTAGGAGACGAAAGAGCTGCCTTCTGAGTGTTTGGCAATGGCACCTGGCAGTTGGCCAGCCCTGGGGGCCATTTTCAAACTTTCCTAGAGTGAGAAAGGGCGGTGTCTTCATCATAATTGGAGGTCACTGCCTCCACTCTCTAACCCTGCCATGGGTTTTGCACCTGCTCCTCATCCCAGTAGATCCCCGAATTCATCACTACAGAGAGGAGGCTGTTACTTTCTTTCCCAGGTGCCACCCTATGACTGGGGTGATAACTTTCTTGCATTTTTTTAAACTTTATGGTTGGGCTGTTGCTCTTATTTTATTGTAGTGCAGTTAAGTGGTTTAAAAAATAACTTGTTGTAACCTCTTTCATTTTCTGTTTTCCCCACCTTACACGCCTTACTCCTGTCCAAGGTCTCTTCTACCAGCCCATGGTGGCTGCTTCTGCCCCAGTGCATATGAACCTGGGTCACTCATTTCCTTCTCCCATAAATGCCCACCCACCCTCCATCGAGACACCTGTCACAGGAATGTGTGTGCATTTGTGTGTGTGCCCCCACGTGTGTGTCAGTAGAGCTTAAGTATACCTTTCCTTTCAGTCTGTGTGAGAGTTATTGAGGAAGATCAGGGTAACACACCCTGATTTCTGTTAGATTCTGGAGTGAAACATTTGACCCCATCAGACCATAAAGATAAGGAATGGGCCTTAGGTCAAAGGTAACTCCATATTCTGGGGACAGACAGGTGCCTGTGAGCCCTATCCGTCTAAGGCAGCTCGTCTTCTGCCTGTTCTGACAGAAACCTTAACCCATGGAGCTTGTTAGTTACAGATCAGGACTTCAATTTGGTGTTTGGAGTAGGTTGACCCAACTGTTGTCCCACAGTGAGATTTGAGGTAAAGAATCATCCCTGAGGGCCAGCACCGTGGCTCACTAGGCTAATCCTCCGCCCACGGCGCTGGAACCCCGAGTTCTAGTCCCGGTTGGGGCGCCGGATTTTGTCCTGGTTGCTCCTCTTCCAGTCCAGCTCTCTGCTGTGGTCTGGGAATGCAGTGGAGGATGGCCCAAGTGCTTGGGCCCTGTACCCGCATGGGAGACCAGGAGGAAGCACCTGGCTCCTGGCTTCGGATCGGCGCAGCGTGCCAGCCACAACACGCCAGCCATAGCGGCCATTTGGGGGGTGAACCAGTGGAAGGAAGACCTTTCTCTCTGTCTCTCTCTCTCACTGTCTAACTCTGCCTGTCAAAAAAAAAAAATAAATAAAAAGACTCATCCCTGAGTTCTCTGAGCCACCTCCACATGCCCATTGTAAACCAGGGACACAAAATGCAATCCCTGTCGGGTTCTTCCCAAATCATGCTCACTTCTGGGAACACAGACAAGGTGGAAAATTTGAGCTTCATTTTGCCCACTGTCAGGCTGGGGGAGAAGGGCTGAGCCCCAGGAGCTTGGAGGGTGGTGTGCTGAATGGCTGAAGGGCCCAGGTGCTCTGTGGCTGTCTCTGTGCTTTTGCCATGAATTAGAGGCCAAGAGAAAGGACCTACACACGAGGTTGCTGCAAACCCAGCCTGCTCACAGGTCCTGAGACTAAAACTCCAGTTCCTACTCTGGCAAAATATGCTATTGGTTTGTAAAAAACAGTGACTGGTTACTTGAAATATTATGTTCCAAGCAATATGCCAAGTGCTTTGTAAGAATTGTTTCATTTTTTCTTATAGTTATAAAGGTTAACAGATTTATCCTCATTTTCTATTTAGGAAGCAATCTTAGAGGCGTGTGTGGTTTGCTGAAAACTGTAAGAAATTCTGGTGTTTTCCTTTATAATCATTGTCTATCTAACCTAAGAGTGCAAGTTCTTGGTCACCACAGTTTTGGCAACCCACTAGTCTCTATTTTTCCCTTCTTTAAAATGAACAGATTGAACTTAAGTTGCAAGATAGTGCCCAGTTCTACTACACTGGATGTAAGGTGAATCAACTTGGCATTCAGTGATGAGAGCACGTCACTGAAGGTGCTGATTGACAGCACAGCGAGGGTAGGATGACAAGACTGTCCGGTTTCAGGGGATTAGCACACAATTCAGTGCACTTCACACGCCAGATGTGATTTAATTTTCAGGTGAGTATTCAGAAGGATTTCAGGAACATACATCCAATATTAAAAAACCAGACAATAAATCTGAGCACTAATGGTGTGAAAGGCTGGATGCTAAAATTTATAGGAAAAGGAGATTATATACAGCTCCCCAGGTGATCATATTTGTATAGAATACCAATTATTAATATTAAGATATAATGATTTACCTAGTACTTTAAACTTTAAATTCAGGAGAAATGGGAGCTTTCTATATCTATAATACTCCCAATTAACTGAATTCCATATTTATATTTTGCTTCCTTTAGTTCCCATTAAAACCAACATTAGCTCTTTTTTTTTTTTTGACTGGCAGAGTTAGACAGTGAGAGAGAGAGAGACAGAGAGAAAGGTCTTCCTTCTGTTGGTTCACCCCCGAAATGGCTGCTACAGCCAGCGCGCTGCGCCAATCCAAAGCCAGGGACTGGAACCTGGGGTGCCGGTGCCGCAGGCGGAGGATTAGCCTAGTGAGCCGTGGCACCGGCCTAACATTAGCTCTTAATTACCCATGTCTAGTAGGGTAAACTGGTTTGAGATTTGATATGTGCCACAGGTCACAGACAAGGGGAAAAATCCTCCTAACAATGACAGAGAAGAAGAAATGGCCTTTTCCATTAAGTAATTTGAGATTTATGGGTGAAAAAATAGTAGCAAACTATTGCTCAGTTTATTTTTTTCTGATTCTTACCCTTGTCTTCAGATTTAACAAATATACATGTGATGATGATAATATTGCTTTTGGTAAATTTTAAAAGATAAAGCAAAAACATATTGGAAATAACTGGAGTCACATTTTAGATAGACTAGAAGGGAATAATCTGAATGCTAAAATTGTGTTGACAGTGAATTTCTTCTCTAGAAATACGCTTTGCAGATTTTGACTATGATATAATAAGGACGTTATGTTTTTGGCCATTGATTTCTGTGCAGAGAATCTGAAACTGTATGCCCGTATTTCTATTGTAAGTGGTCTCAGCATGTATTAAACCATCTTTACATTTGTCAGAAAATGACAACCTTCGAATTATAATAGAGCAAAGTTGGCCTGTGGGAATTGAAATTGTTATACAGCTGTGGTCCAGGAAAGCCCTCAGTGAAGATCTTGTCCATACTGGTAGAACTTGGATTCATGGTTGTACTGCATTCTGCGTTCTGTCAAGAGCCCCAATTCTTCCTCTTAAGGTTTTACTCTAAATTATGTGAGGACGTTGTATCTGGTATGTGTCTTTAAACTCACATACATATAACCTTGGCTGGACTGGACTTATGAGGTACCAGAAATACTAACATGAGGAAGATTTCTTCAATTATCTCACTAAAAATCCACAAGAGACCCATTTACAACTCCTTCCCAATTATCAAGTTTAAAGCATTTGCATCTTGCCCATACTCCTCTGGTCACATTGTATGGTGATCCAAGGACTTTATCTTGGTCATTTTGTTTAATCTCACAGCAACTGAATGATTTTGGCAATAATATGACATTTTTATAGTTTAAGAAAGTGAGAGACATATTAAGAAATAGTTTAATATCATCCAGATTTGAAGTGATAGTGTTCATTTTATCCTGTGAGGTTTAATGATGGAATTATTTTATTATTGATCCGTAAACTGAATAAATTACAGGCAGGGGTGAGTGGTGGTTCAATCAGTGATTGGGATTGGCACACATCATGAGATGGCTTTTCCTTGGACAAGAATGACCTCTATACTGAGTCTGTGAAACCCTCATCTTTTCAAAAGCCAGCCTTGGACATCACACGGGGGTGTTCTTGAATACTGGAGATGTCGGTGCAGGTGGCAGCATTTACTCCACTTTTATTCTTTCCTTTGTGTTTTGTCTTTGTATTTACCAGCTTCCCTAACAGTGATTGGGCCTTCCCATCCCATCCTTGTCAGGGTGGGAGAAGATGTGGAGTTAACCTGTTACCTGTCCCCCAAGGTGAATGCACAGAACATGGAGGTGAGGTGGGTCCGATCCCACCGCTACCCCGCTGTTCATGTGTATGTGGATGGGGACCATGTGGCTGGAGAGCAGATGGTGGAATACAGAGGGAGGACTGCTCTGGTGGGTGATGCGATCCACGAGGGGAGACTGACACTGCAGATACATGGTGCCAGGACTTCAGATGATGGGCAGTACCGGTGCCTTTTTGAAATTGATGATGTCTACCAGGAGGCCAGCATGGATCTGAAGGTGGTAGGTAAGGATTCTAGACATGTGTCCTGGGTTCTAACATATTGACATGCTAACTCCTAGGACATTTCTCTGGCATTTGAAATTTTCTTATTAAATGTGTATTGAATCCTCTGGTGCCCAGAACTGTCACAGACACTTAAAGATCACAAGCTTAAATGGACCAAAGTTAATTCTTTGAGTATAGAACTTGTATTCTTTTCAATCTGTCCATAAAGTAACCATATGTTTAGGGACATCTACTCCCTAATTTTACACAGAACTCATTATTTCTCATTTTGTTATTAAATTTCTGAAAAATGCAATTATCAGGAAGTGTAATAATTTGTAGACAAAAGTAGATCTATCATGGAAACAAAAATGAAGATTGGCATGCATGCCAGGGATGGAGAAGATGAAACCACTTCCTGCCTCACTGCTGATATTTGTGAGAATTGATTTCCAGGGATAGCAAATGCTGTTGAAGACAGGCCAAAATCCTGGATGTTACACAAGTTCCTCCCATGCATTTTGAATCTAAATTAGAAAGCACACTTAGTAAGTACCCATAAGAGGACACATCAAGAAGTAAATGGGCTCCGTTGTTTTCTGCCAATGGACGTAGATATTTTTAAGAGTTTGAGAGAACACTCTTACTATGTTTTATCTTGCACATGTGATCCATGCCTTGGTAAAGTTATTTTGTTCTCGGGGACAGAAGAAAAAGGTTTGGTATGGAATTGTGTTTTACTTATTAATCTACCCGAGGGTGATTTGGCAAAGCAACAACAACAACAATACCCAAACAGAAATTACAAACAAGACAAGACATGCTCCAGCTGCTTTCGTCTGAGTGGAGCGGATTGCCCCTTAAGATCTGCTGTCTCCCCCAAGCCCTCTGAGTCCCCTCCTCCCTCCCAGGGAAGTCACTGACTGTAGATCTGAGATCTCTCTTCCCCAGGAGTGGGCTCTTCCCCACTGATCACCATGGAAGGACTGAAGGATGGAGACGTGCAGCTGATGTGCACTTCGGACGGGTGGTTCCCACAGCCCCTTGTGCAGTGGATGGACAGACAGGGAGAGGCAATGCCGTCGTTTTCTGAGGCCCTGAGTCAAGACAGCCGTGGGCTGTTCCATGTGGAGACGGCTTTATTGGTGACAAGGAGCTCCATTGTGAACGTGACTTGTTCCATCAGCAACCCCCTTTTGGGTGAGAGGAAAACAGCATCCTTTTCTTTCTCAGGTGGGTGATGCCATTTATTTCTGCTAAGTTTGGGAAATAATTGTCAAGACCAACCCAGACTTATTTGTTTTATTACTTCTCATGAAACACCTGCTATCTCTTGAAAATCTGATCTTTAGGAGATCCACTCCTCCGAGTTTCTCCCTCACACACCCGCCAAGATCCCTAAAGTTAGGCTTATTACTGGGTATACACTAAGTTCCATTTTACTGTATCTGAAAAATCCCTTCTTCTATTGTGAAAATAAATAGTACTTTGCTTGTGTTTTCCCCTCATGGTGAGTTTTCTTGCAGATCAGAAATCAATTTTCCAGGAAGGAACACTTGGTTAGGATACCCACATCACTTATTGGAGTGCCTGGGGTCAAGTCCTGGCTCCACTTCCAATTCCAGCTTCCTGTTAATGTGCATCCTTGAGGCAACAGGTGGTGGCTCATATACCTGGGAGTGAGTGTTGGAGTTCCCAGCTCCCAGCAGTAGCTGTTATGGGCATTTGGAGAACGAACCAGTAGGTGGGAGATCTCTGTGCCTCTCTGCCTTTTGAATTCAAAAAGTAGACAAATTTTAAAAGTTTTTGAAAAAAAAACCCCAATTTTCCTTATTGCCTGTTCATGGTTGTGGACTGTGCGATTTTATCCTTTTGCACTTCATCTATTCTAGGGATGGTGTGATGTAGTTGGGAAAGATAGGGGGAAACATTTGTGGGTGTTGCATGTGTGTTTCTGAGAGGAGTAAGCACTAAAGCAAGACACAAACGTGTTCTCTCCTCAGCATCCATGGAGCAGGCAGGAGTGGACCAAGTGCCTCCTCAAGAGGCCCAATTCTCATCTCCTCTCCAGGCAGGGAGCCACTCAGATGAAAAGAGTAATCTCGATATTCTCCCATTTCATTAATGGGGCTCTGGGGTTTCCATTTCAGAGTCCAGGATGAATTTGTTGTGGATCATACTGCTTATGTTGGGATTGCTTCTTGTTGTGGCTGTAGGCCTGAGTAGGAGGAAGAGCCGTAAGAAAGGTAAGTTAGAAGAGCGGCAGGGTGCAGTATACTTGGTGATGGGAAGCTCACTACTCCCTCTTGCCGGCCTCTCTTTTCAGCCATCACACATAACAGACACTCAGTAAATATTAGTAATTAGCAAGACATCAAAATCTATGGTTTCCATTTACGTAATTGAGGATCAGTGCTGCATGAGATTGGAATTTGCAGCAGTGGTAGAAGCCAAAGGACTAAGCAGCAGCAATTTGCTTTCCTACTGTCTGTTCCCCAGTGATTTAGTAAAGGGAGAGGAAGAGGTTAGTGCACAGTTGTCCTTGTTTCTAAGCTGAAAGCTTGGAAATGCTGGCGTGGGCATTTTCATTTCATTAAGGTCTTTGTACACGTGGTGACCCCCATATTGGTGATTCCCGCTCTGCTGATAAGGACTTCTCATATATGGATAGAGAAGCTGTTTTGTGTGCTCCAGAAAGTTCTTTCACTTTAAATTTTTTGGGTCACTGAGACTTATGCTTACCTGTTGATGGCTTGAAGTTGACACTTTCTGTTATTGGGTCATTATCACAGATTTTCTTTCTTTACAGCAGATGTGATACCAGATCTAAATACAGCACATTCAAGATTGATTGATTCTGAGGAAACCACGGATATGACCCATGGACATTTGAACAGCCAGATACCCAACAGAGATCTGACTACCTGCTCCTCGTGCAGGGCCAGGAGGCACACAAGCCAGGGAGGCGGGACTGAGAGGTGGAGGGTGAGAACAGGAGAGGAAAGCTCCCCAGTGTTGTAAAGGAAGATGTTGTGAGGAAAGGCATCACCTCTGTGTCACCTGAGACTGAGGTCTATTGCAGTGGATCATTATGGAAATGAGGACTGGGAGGCCAGCATTGTGGTGCAGTGGGTTCAGCTGTAGCTTGCAATGCTGATGTCCCATATCAGAATGCTGGTTGGAGTCCTGGCTGCTCCACTTCTAATCCAGCCCCTTGCTAATACACCTGGGAAGGCAGCAGAGCATGGCCCATGTGCCTGGGTCCCTTCCATCTACATAGGAGACCTGGTTGGAGTTCCAAACTCCTGGGGTCTGTCTGTCCCAGCCCTGGCTGTTGCAGCCATTTGGGGAATAGAACAAGGTATGAAAGATGTGTCTCTTTTTTTTCTCTTCATACATGCACACACACATGTATACATATATCCTCCCTCTCTCCTTTTCAAATAAGTAAATAAATATATTTTTTAAAAAGGAAGTGCATACTGAGCCATCATCCATTCTCCAAATCTCTGCGTGAAAGTGGTTCATGGATCAGAACGTCCATGGGTCAGAATCTCCTTGACTAGATCTCAAACACCTCTCCTCGCACAACATGACCAACATACACCACATCTGCACCTGCCCCAAACCTTCCTGCTCTGGGGCTCCGCATTCTCTGGTATGCCGATGGAGGTTCTCCAGAGTATTTCATAGACTGAGGAGAGCCTCTTCAACAACCTTGGAATCTGGAAATCAGGGTTGCATTCTGATTCCCAGATGTATTTCTCCTGTTACCAACGGCTTGAAAGGGGCTTGCGTGATCATCAAGGAACTGAGAGTGCTTTACCCTCACTCCAGCCGCCAACATGATCCAAGGCTGATCCTGCCAGGGATATGTCCTAGTTCAAGCTCTGTGATACCCACCTACTGATCACAATCTGACATCTGATTAGCTGCACAACCTCTCTTTGCCTCAGTTTCCATATCTAGCAATCGGTTAATGATATTGCATCCCTTATGAACTTATATTTGAGACTGGCTCACAATGGATCCATGGCTCCTTCTGTCCCTCCTTGCTTGTCTGTAAATAACAGACCCACTTCGCATACCCTCTTGTGTGTGTGTGTGTGCCCCATCTCACCGGGCACAGATAAGCAGGTAACCAGTGCATGGTGAACTTAGACAGTAGCCCATATTGCAATGGGTGTGAGAATATGGAGTATATGTATTATTCTTCCACAAGTGTTTACATATTTATTTTATTTAAAAAATTTCAATTCAGTAAAATAAGTACAATTCATCATTTGGATCATTTTAAAGCATGCAATTTAGTACTATTCCATATATTCACAATGTTGTACAACCGCCATCGTTATTTTGTTGGAGAATATCTTCATCATCCCCTAAAGGAAACTCCATACCCACTAAGCAGTTGGTCCTCAGTTGTTCTTCCCACCAGCATCTGGAAACTACCAATTTACCCTTTGTCTTTAGGAAATTTTCTATTCTGGTTATTTCACATAAATGGAATAACAAATGTGTAACAGGTTTGCTTATTGCCAATCCTAATAAAGGACTCCCACTGCTTGGAAAATGGCAAATATCATCATTGCACCAACCTCCAGAAGCAGGAGTCCATACCTTTAGGCTCACTGCATCCTGGGGTTAGATACAACCTATAGAGATATAATCCTACATAAGACACAATTCTTGTTTTAGGCATTTGACCATTCTAGTCGTCACTCAGTTTTTAAATGTCTTGTCATATTGTAATAAACTTGATTAAAATAAGATTTCCAGAGTTGTCCACCAATGAAGAATTAATGGAATAAGCCAGATGATGAATTTATGGTCATTACTTTTCCAGAAACTACAAGCTATTTGGAGACCTCTCCCTGCTTGTTAACTTACCCACAGTTACAGATGAGGCTAATGCAGGCATTGGTATCTCTGACATTGCTACAACTCTGAATCAAACAAGACATCTACCTTCACAATGTCTTTCATTGCCCACCTCCAGAAAGGCATAATCCCATTAAAATGAGTGGAGATGTGATGGGTAGAAGAGTCTTGTAGAATAAAACATGAATTTAGGTCCCTGCAGAAGAGATTCTAAAAATGCGCTTGTGATGAAATCTTTACTTAATATATACTAAATCGATCTTCTGTGTATAAAGATAATTGAAAATTGATCTTGATGTGAATGGAATGGGAGAGGAGCGGGAGATGGGAGGAGTGTAAGTGGCAGGGGAGTTATGGGGGGGGAAGCCATTGTAATCCATAAACTGTACTTTGGAAATTTACATTTGCTAAATAAAAGTTTTAAAAAAATGCGTTTGGAAATCTCATGCTGAATTTCCAAAGAGTACAACAAGAGTGAAATATTCAGGGTCCAGGCATTTAGCTTAGCAGTTAAGATGCTCATCTCTCACAAAAGAGAGGGGTTCAGTTCTCAGCTCTCATTCCTGGCTACAACTTGCTACTAATGCAGACCCTGGAAGGCAAGGGTAATGGATTAGGTAATTCCGCTCCTGCCAGCCACTCAAGAGATCTGGGTTGTGTTCCTGGATCCCACTTCAAGCCTGGACTAGCCCTGGCTATTTCAGGTCTTTGGGGGAGTGATCTTTTTTTTCTCTCTCTCTTTCCCCTGCCTCTTAAATAATGATAGATAAATAATTTTATTTTTAAAAAGTAAAATATCTTAAATGAACCCATTATTGTCTCTGTTCTATATTATAGTTTCACTCCCATTTGTTGTTGTGACACCTGTGTACAAGAGTCTGTTGTCCAGAAATCCCTCCTTACCACATTAATTTGATTAACCTATTAATTTTTCCCACCATTCATTAACCCCTCTTCTGCCTTTATCACCTCTGTGTAAGCCCTCTCTTTACTTTAAGTGGAAGTTAGGATTCAGGGCTCTGTATTGATTCTTCCCAGGTACAAATACTGTATTCAATACCACTTAGTGACTATGCATAGAGAAATTTCAGCAAGAGGCTACACCTTCTCAGAATTTAGCTTAAAGATCTGTCAGTAGTGTAGAAAAATCTAAGTGTATCTTTTCTATTATCCACAAAGCAGCATTCATTTAACAACAGAAGCTCATATATCATATCATTGAAGGCATAACCTTGGTGCTAAGTAGCTGGTGAAGGCTTGGATGCAGTAAAGACCAATAGAAATCCATACAGTGGAAAGAATATGGTCAAAAAGAAAAGTTGTAATATTTGCAGTGACTCTTTATCCATAAGGATACGGTTGTTTCTTCATTCCTACTTAGCTATTTTCTCTCTGAAAATATAAACTGCAATACAAATTCCTTTGCCATTCACATTCTCACAAAGGATGCAATTTTGGACTTATTAAACAGTGGGAATTTGCTAAAGAAAGTGGCTCACTCCACTCAGAAGACTTGATTTATGGTTTTGTATTGGACTTTGCCCCTTGCAGACTCTAACATTAGAAGGCCATGGAGCACTGGTAACTGAAGAACACACAAGCCGAGCTATTACATTTCAATGGAGTTTAGCAGATTTCTGCTTATTTCCAATGGTGGTAACATGTATTGAGAATTCATTGAAATGTGACCTTTCCATTACAACATCAACCTCCTCCACATCTAACAGCAAAAAAAGAAGAAGATATATATTTTCATTTTATAACTATTTATTTATATAAAAGGAACAGATTTTAGATATTATTATATGTACAGTTTTAATAGCATAATGATACTTTCCACCCTATCCTCCCTCCCTGCCTCATTCCCATCCTCCCTCCCCCTGGTTTTCTTTTAAATTTCACAATGACATAGTTTTAATACAGTTTATAATCACAAGCTTAACCCTCCACTAAATAAAGAACTCAACAAGTAGTCAGTAGAAAAACCACTGTTCCTCAAGAGTATAGACAAGGGCTAGAAACAATCAAATCTCAAAATGTCAATTTTGCTCATATACATGGTATTTTTTCAATGTAATTAAATGTATTTGCATAAACACATACTAAGCAACGGTTTAAGACTCATATACTTATTTGGCGTTATCTGTAACAAACCTTGCTGTCCACAAAGACACTGCTGTTCCCCATTGAGAACTGTACAGGAAATCCCCCCTGGATTTTTCCTAGTTTCCCTGTTTCTCTTTCTGCCTCTTCCTCTTTGAAAGGGGTTGAAATGGACCTACTCCACCCAGAACAGCTTTTTGGAAAACACACTTGTAAGAAGCTTGAGTAGAAGCAGTCGGGGTACCTGTGGGCTGACACTTTATTTCTTATGGAGATAATAGAGTGTTAGTTTCTTGGGGGACATCTGTATCACAATTCCTTAAGTGAGTTACTGATGTCTCTGCAGAAGAACTGGGAACATTTTCAGTCTGACCCGAAGCTGAGCAGATGGTCATAGATGTGCCAGCACCTTGCAGGCTAAAATAAGGCTGGAATTTCCCACAGAAATTGATGCCAGTGTAGGAATAGATGTGGGACCCATCCACCATGTTGTAAAAGGACAAATCCCCAGCCTCCCAGTCCAGGAAAACTCCTATCCTCTCAGGGTAACTTCTTAGTGACAGAGACTCTGGCTTGGAGGTGAGGGTCGTGACCTTTCCTTCCTTGTAGGCCACCAACCAGAAATTCTTCTCTGTATTTTCCACAAACCACCCTGCTCTATTCACTGTTTCAGGACAAATACCCAGAGCCCATCGAGCTCCATGTCCCATTTCTTTCTCCCCAAGTACTTTTACTTCCCAATAGCATCTCCCTGTGGCAAAGCAATTCTGACCCACAGCACTGAAGATGGTTCCAGACCCTCCTGTCCCCTGTGTTGTTGAGGAACAACATTCTTTTCCAAAGAAACACGTTTTCCATCCCCAGATATGGTGAGGCTACGGTGAGCTGTGTTTTTATCCAGAGAAACATCCACTGCAGGGGTGGGGAAAACAAGGAAGAAAAGATCAGTCAGTCAGGGAGGCTTGTTGGCCCTAAGAAAGATGGAAACGCGGTGTAAGGACAAAGGAAGGAAATAGGACAAAGACAACCAAAGGGTAGGCAAAACAACCTGTGTTCTGTTCCAGGAGACACATGAGGAAGTGGAAGTCCAGAGCTGGACAGGACTTCAGGTAACCGTCTGTTCCAGAATCTAGTCAGGATGACTGCTTTTGACAATCCTCAGCGTCGTGTATTTTAGGATGAGGTCTTCCACCCTTCTGTAAATAGCCTGTTATTTTTTTTTTCTTTCTCTTAAGAGTTAAGTCTTGTCATCTTCTCAGTCACTGTGTGCTTGCCTACATTTAAGCCTTTTCAGTATCATTTTTCTATGGGTTTATATAGTGACCAAATCATTTATTTCTCATGTACTCCTATTATATTTTTCTAATTGTGATTCAACAAGCTCTTTCCTGAGTCAGGCTGGTTATACAATAAACTTCCTTCTGACTGAAGCATTCTTCCAATGTTGTTCATGTGAAGAAATCCATGAATTTGCTGAAGTGCCAGCTTAAATAGTAATTCCGTTTAGGAAACCCTTTAATCCACTTTTTTCATTCTTGATAATCTCTTATTCCTTCAAATATGTATCACAATTTATATGAATATTTTCCTATTAAGCCAGAGATCAGGATATATTTATTTACTTGGCACTGAATAAATAGTTATATAAAGATGCTCCTTGACTTACAGTGGGTCTAATAAGCCTGTTGTAAATTGACAATACCAAGTTGAAAATGTCCTTCATACACCTATTCTACCTAACATCCTAGAAAAGATTACCTGAAAAAAAAAAGGCCTGAAACATAGCTGAGAGTGTAATACTGTAGGTAAGGGAGAAATGTGCTCCCTAACCAGGCAGCCGGGAGCCAAGCCTGCTTCCCTGTTGGACAGTAGAGGGGTGGATGCTCATTCCTTGTTCAGACTGCACAGCCGTTGGAAGCCACGGATGCTGGGTCTCACGCTCTCTCATGCTTGCTCCAGGCAGGATGTTGGACTTCTTGCAGTACAGTCTGTCTGGTGCGGTTGCCTCCTTCTTCTTCATCCTGCTGACCCTGAAGCCTCCAGGTATGATCCCCTTCTCCCCTTTCTACACACTGTAATGCTCTGGAGATCCAGTCCTGGGGCTCAGTCCTAAGGACTGGCACAAGATTTCAGAGCGTGGGCCCAATGGCCAAAGCACCTGAGTTCCAAAAAGGGCTCCTCCACTTCCAGCTGTGTCACCCTGGGGAAGTTATCTGAGCCTCTTATGCTTTGGTTTCTCCACATTTATGGTCAGAACAATGACAGTATGTACACCTGAAGGTTGAGCATCAAATGAGACCATGAATGAGAAACGCCTGACCAGTGGCTGGAACTTGTTAGTGTTTTCATCTATTCTCCTACTTCCGTGAACTTGGGGGTAAGACAAAGAGCTACTTCTTTTTTATTTTCTAAAGATTTTGTTTTTACTTATTTGAGAGTCAGGAAGGAAGAGAGAGAGAGAGAGAGAGGAGAGAGAGGAGAGAGAGTAGAGAGAGTAGAGAGGAGAGAGAGAGAGAAAGAGAGAGAGAGAGAGATTCCATCCA